TTCTTGAAAGCTGGTAGTTCATGCTGAAACTAGAGATCGGGTTTGCTACAAAGCAAAACAGTTATTTTTAGTGCTTTTGGACGTTTTTTTTTTCTGCAACTGATCAACATGTCCTTGATGACCTCTTGAGGCTATGCTTAAGGTATAAATCATAAAGCTCCCATCGATTTTTTTTTTTCTTTTTTTTTTTTGATGGATTCAGAACTATTCTTTCAAAGGGTCAGTCTTTGTGCTTTTCACATCTTCACATTCAGAACCAATACCACTCATCTCAAGCCGTGTAAATCAGGACTATTTCTCAGCCAGTTTTCTTTTAACTTTTCCTGAGGGCTTCTTTTGTTTGTTATCCTTCATTATTTATCACTAATTGTGTAGAATTATATTTATATTAGGTGCTATCATTTTTTTGGAGATTTTTCACAATGCAAAATCTGTTTGTCATGAGTGCCATATAAAGCTGTATTTTATTCTCCTTTCTCCACTTCACTGCACAACCAGTGGAACAAAATTTGGTCTGTAACTCTTACCTCAATGGAAAATTTGAATTTAGTATTAAATAATAGCAGATCAGACTTTGAACACATCAAAAGTACGATCAGTGCTCTGGCTGTTTCTGATCATAGTGTAGTTCCTGACTAATCTTCTGCATAAGAGTCCTGTAAAGTAACAGGCATATTGTAATTACTTCTATTCTAGACCATGAAATTGAGTTCCATAACTTTCTCTCCTCTCCATGCAAATTCCATTTTCTTCTACTTTTGTTCTACTTTGTCCCTTCACAGTGTGTTTCTTTCAGTCTAGGTGTCAATGCCTTTTAAGTTTCCTGTTATGATGCAAATAAACCTAAAGCTAAAGCTTTTCCTTCAAAAGGCAGCAGGTTGTAATTAATCAAAGGTTGGTTGGTTGTATGTTTGTTTTAACCTGAGTAAGTTATAGCTGAGTTTTTCTCTTTGAATGATACTTTACATAAATAGTGACTGACATGGGTGACAAAACTGAATGCGCCTTCACCAATTTTGTGGTGAACTCCCACTGAGCTGGGAGGAGATGTAGACTGGTCAGAAACAAGAACCATAGAACCAACTTGGCAGGCTGTGAGACTGGACCAACAAGATTCACAAGGTTTAACCAAGATACATGTGAAGTCTTTAACAAGATACGTGTGGGTTGGAAGAATCCTGCGCAGCAGTACAGGCTGGGGTCTGACTGAAATGCATCGCCATATCACCTGCCTGGCAGTGTGTCTTGACAGCAGTGAAGGCATATGTGTCCCAGGCTGCATCAGCAAGAGCACAGCCAGCAGATGGAGGGATGTGGGGTTGTCCTGCTTAGCCTAGTGTGTGTTAGATCAAATCTGAAACACAGTCCTGGTCTCCCCAGTTCAGGAGAGGCATGGAAAATTGGAGGGGGCCCAGTGGAGAACCACCAAGTTGATCACAGGTTTGGAGAAATTGAAATAGAAAGAAAGGTTGCTGTAACTGGTTGTGTTGAGCCTAGAGAAGACTCGGGGATCTCACTACAGTCTTACACTACCTATGAGATAGTTACAGAGAAGACAGAGGCTCTCTTCACAAGGATGCCTAGTGATAAGATGGGGCAAAGGGCATAAGGATAAAATTCCACCTGGATATAAGAAAAATCCTTCACTGAGATTGAGAACACTATAACACAGGAGTAGTTGTCTTGAGAAGTGATAGACTCTCCCTCACTGAAAATACTCAATCTTTGGCTTGACAAGGCCCTGGATAACCTAACCTGAGGCCCTACTTTCAATAGTACATTGGACCAGATGATCTCCAGATGTCCCTTTCAACCTACACCTTTCTAAGAATCTGCTTCAAAATAAACAGCAGTGGATTTAATTAGCTTTTTTTATTAACACATTTACTAAGCATGGAACTGGTGTGCTCAGGGGCAGATAATTTCAAAAACATTCCACTGACTGGGTATTTGCTTTGCTGGCAAAATCAGTTGTTTATGTCTGATACTGTAAGAATGCTAATATGAATTTTTATGAACTTTTTGTAATCACTCTAGTGAACTTGGTTCCTTTCAGGATTTCAGCTTCATACCACTGGGCTGCTGTATGATTTCATGTTTAAATACAGACACAAGGATTAATTTATAGTTGACAACTATCCTGTGTGCAGAAAACAAAGTAAAAAAAATATCCTAGTCTTTTTTGTCTTTTTTTTTTTTTTTTAGGAAAAGGTTCCTGCATATTTGGCAACATCTCCAATACCCACTGAAGACCAGTTTTTTAAAGACACTGACAATCATTTGAAATCAGTTGAAAATGAGAGGACATGTGCAAACTCAGAAATTCTACACTCTGCAGAAACAGAGACTGTATTCACCCCAGGTTCTGTGAAAAAGAAAAAAAGAAGAAGAAAGAAATACAAACAAGATAGCAGGAAGGAAGATCAGATCTCTTCTGCTGGGACTGAAGAGATTTTCGAAATGGAAATCAGCTCAGATGATGAAAAAAGTGTTCAACCCCTAAGGTAAACTCTCAGATAGTTGCTGACTGCTTTCACTGTTATCGCTGAACATTTAAAAAGTCACTTGTACATTTCCTCCATGCAAGCAATGCATAAGTTTTGGTAGGCTCTGGCTGGGCATTTCCTCAAGCAAACAAACAAAATTCCAAACTGGTATCTTCCAAATCTTTACAGAATCCTTCAGGTTGGGCCATTTTTTTATGAACATGAAATGTAGTTAAGCCCATTCTGGTAAAGAAGTGTTGTCGCAATCTGTTGTGTCACTGAGAAAGTTCCAGTGTAATTTCTCTGATGAGGCAGAGTGATCTTCTGGTGTGTTTGGTAACCTCTACATAAACTGCAGCATGGAATGCCTGTAGTACACCACATCTGAATTTGACTTCTCTGTAACTTGAAGTTTACTTTGGCAACTTAAAACTACATAAATGAGTGTTCCTTCACATTAGTAAAGTCAATTCTTTACATGTGTTTAAAGAGGAGGGAAAAAAAAAATTTAGTCCTGTAGTTTGAAGTGGATAAACTATTAGTAAAGTGGAGCTTGTGCTAAAGTGGTAGCACAGACTAATAAGCTGAAGAAGTTTACATGAGTAACAGGAAAGATTAAGATAATAGAAGAAAGCTATCAAGCATATAAATCCTTAAAATCTGGGGAAGGCCTATTCACCAGGACTTAGTTTTTAGAGAAAGCTAGCTGTTTTATTGGACAGTATTGTTGTTAGTTGTACTACTGTCTGAATCAATTCAAGTTCTGGTCTGGGAATTGCAAGAATGTTTTTGTGTAAGAGAATAAAGTATAACTGAAAAAGCTCCTTCAGGGTCTTCAAGGAAGTCTCAAATTTAATAAGTACCAGCCAAAAAGATTAATGGAACAGGAAAACATGAATCTGTTGTCACACCTATGTCTAATAAAACACAACAAACAAAATCTGGATTTTGGATAGATGTTGCCTAGAGTGTCTGTGTTTTTCTTAGTTCATTTCCCTTATCTTATTAATCTCATATTTATGTCAATGAATTGTCATTTAGATATTCATTGCTCTGTTTAAGTCTGGAAATTGGCTTTTTGTTTGGTTTGAGATTTTTTCCTTTTTTTCCAGTGTAAGAAAAAGAAGACCTTTGGTCAGTCTTCAGTGTGTGATTATTAAGACAACAATAACTTGTCATATTGAAAATGTCAAAAATAAAAATAACCATCAGGTACAGGAAGAAAGAAAATATAACCCATGAATCATTTATTTTTTTTTCAGTGTATCATTACAAATGGATGAAGCATTTAGCCATGTCATTCTAGTAATGGCTGTTTTCATCCAGTGTTTAGAATTCTAATGGCTATTCTGGCAATTATCTTACTTGGACTAGAGGTGAATAAAAAATTGCAAGTTTGACTGAAGTGTCAAATGTTTAGTCATAGCTGAACCATGGTCCTTTCGTAAAGGTTACTCTGGTTTTATTTTTTTGTAGCCTTTAGAATGAAAGATTTAAAAAACTTTTTATTTGTAAGCTACATTTTTTCACATGAGTAAGCAGAAACAGCAGTAGAAACGTATTATTGGACACAGAACAGTTCATAGTCTGAAAAGAAGATTTTGTAAAAGAATGCTGTTTTCTTGTGAATAGCAAGTAAATGAAGGAGTGAAAAAATATATTGTAGTGGTGGAGGCCCGGAGACAGTGGATTTGTGGCTCTGTGTCTGTTAGACAGTAGTCTGTGGCTCTGAGTTCATTTACTGTCATTTCCGTGGGCTGCCAAGGCAGGAAATAAAGTGCCTTGCAATAGGCAGACACTTGTTTTCTTTCCAGCTAAAGATACGGTTGTGAAAGCATTCATAAGATTTCTTTTCAAACCCTGTGGGTATGTAAGGTGATACCAGTGGGTTTGTTTTCTTTGGGATTTTGGTTGTTTTACTGTAGTGGTTTGTTTTGGGTTTGGTTTTTTGTTTGTTTGTTTTTAGTTATAAATGTGTGGCTCTGAAAAAAAGGAAGATAAGAAAAAGAAACTTAACTGTGATTAGACATAGCTTCAGATTTCAAAGTGAAACTAAGAAAGGAAAAGGGAGGCTGATGTTCTGAGAGGAAGGTCAAAAATTCGGTCACAGGTGCCAGTATGTAATGTCTTATCTAGTTCTATTCTTATAAAGCAGAAAACAAGCTGTTTCCTGTTTCTTGAGGAAAATCTATTTCCAAGTGTTTATCTACTTTTTAAAAAAAATATGTCATTTGTGTTTTTCAGCTATGATTTAGATATGTTAGTAGTGCTGGATGTACATAAAATAATACCAGGAGGACTGAGATTACAGTGTGTATAACTCAGAAATAGAGCTCGTTGTTTCTCCAGTGCTAAGGGTATCAAACAGTTAAAGTAGTTACCTGTCTCTGAAATCTGATATATTTATTTATACTGTATAAAGTGGATAAGGACAAGAAGTGGCAGCACTGTTTATAAATGTTGCAACATAAATAGCTTAAAATGGATGGTACAACTTGAAGTTATGCATACTGATTTTCCCTTCTTATTTTCAATAATCTTCAACTGCATTTGGATTTTTAACTTGTAGATTTATCCACTTATGTGTTAAATTTGATTTTTGTTTTGATCTTCCGTCTGAACTCTTTTAGACACTGATTTACAGTGAATAAAATCTGTTCAGTATTACCCATGTGTCATCTTGCCTCCCCTCTCATGTGACAATATTAAGAGCCTCTCTAATAATTTTTTTGTGTTTACTTAGTTGTTCAATCATACCTTTTCCCTCTTTGGAGATACTTAGGACTGCCTACAAAGATAGCATGAAACATATTTCTTTCACACTTAGATTAGTTTCTGAATTCAAAGGATGTACAGTCTCTGCAGCTCTCATCTTAAGTCAGGATGCATCATCAGGTTTCATAAGAATACTATTATAGAATAAGAAGTGGAGCTACAAAGACATTTTTAGAGTTCAGTATTTACCATAGTCTAGATGTCTTACAAATGAAAGACTTGTGCAAATGAGGTAGATCACTGTGACTGCTTAGTGTCTAATGGGCTGTATTGAGTAAGCATGTAAATTCTAAATATGTATTTGATAATGACGAAATATTTTCTTTTCTCCATCCATAAGAGAAATGAGCATTAGCATTGCAAAACAAATCCAGTGCATCTGTGTTGGTAATGAAATAAAAATATTTTTCTTTTTTCTTTCATAATATGGCTTAAAATAATTTCTGTCGCGTTTTGCGCTCAAATTCCAGGCATATCTTCCTGCTATTCTTATCCACTGTTTAGCCATGATGCCCTTGATCTAAGCTCAAAACAAGTTAGTTGTATTGTGAGAATAGCTATTTATTCAGTTAAATTCAGAAAGCTGTAAAAAGATCTGGTCTTTATGATGGTAACATTTAAAAGAGACTTCTGTGTAAAATACAGTGCATGACTGCTCAATGGGTTTTAATGTTGATTGGTTTTGGGTCTTTGTGGATACTAAGTAGACTTCCCAGTGCAAAACAAATACCACTGTTCAGAAAAGTACAATATTTCTACCTGCTTGTTGTAGTTGATGTTAATTTGTAAACTCTTGGGTAAATCGTGAGGCCTGATTTCCTACTGGTTTTAGTTTATGAAATGTGCATGGTCAAAACTACCACCTCTATTTAACTTTTCCAGTGATTGTAAGATTCACCATACTAAAGGCTATGTGTAAAAATTTGTTTGTCTTTGTATTGTGGTAATATTTTTTCTGTCTGTGTAGAGTAATATCACTTATCATTACTCATATAGCATAATATCATTTCTGCTATTGTGATTTCTTCAGTATTAACTTAGAGGAGTAGTAGATTTTAAAGTTGCAATATTTTCAAGTAATAATATTTTTTAAATAAATTTTAAGTTATATAAAGGTGTTTTGCAAACAATAAATCCCTTTAAGCTATACACTGATTTCTTTTGATCTTGGATTTTTAATAACATATATGATATGTAACTTTTTAAACTGAATTAGTAAAGCAGATTTTTTTATTGCTGACTTATTGTCTTGTGTATCTCCACAGAGGGTCCTCAAATTCATCACCAAAGGGTGAAGAGCAAAAAGAGTCTTTGATTTACCACTCGAAGGACCATTACCCCTTATCTGATGGAGACTGGTCCCCTCTGGAGAAGTAAGTAATTTTATAACGTCATCATACATATAATGATATAATTATTTAAAAAAAAAATCACTGTGCCTTTTTATTCATTTTCCCCCTTGACCTATAAAACTATTAAAGTTGCTTGACTTGTATGATATCAAATGCAGCATTTGATACTCATTTGAAACTTCGGGAACTTTCCTCTCTACTCAATGTATTAAAAAAGGTTGTCTTTATTTTATCATTCCCCCTTCAATGAAAAAGAACCCTTTCTTATTAAAATTCACTATTAAAGAAAGAAAATAAAGTTAATAAGATTTCCTTAGGTTGAGAAGGGTGTGGAAAACAAGTATGATCCGTATGATCAAGCAATACTTGATATGCCAGAAATCAGAAGTGTTGAGTGTTTAAGGTACATTTTGCTGTGTGAGGTAATCCAAATTGCTCAAGGTAAAGCTAGATCCTAAACTTGAATCATATTCCGTTTCAGAATAGAGAATTAGCTAGATACTGGAGTTCTGATATCCTTGATTATCTAGAGATACGAAAATCAGCATCAGCGGACCGTAGAGTCTTAAAAGTGGCATAATAGAACTCACCAGCTCAGTTTTCACTGTGACCAGGACCCTTCTGTTTGTACACTCAAGTACACTCTTCAGTTTCTGATGTTCGTGCCACTATATTCCTGTTGTGTTCGGTTTGTAGATTTTTCAAGGCTCACCCTTTGGATTTCACAACTCTTAACATGAATATCTATTGGCATAAGAAAGCATTCTGTCCATATGTGATAGTACTTGAGGTAAATTTTCTATCTTTTGTGAATATTGGACATACAGGAAGGAGCATCCATTTAGCACATAGCATGCAAAGTAGTATCTTGATTCATCTGAACTCTTCAGTAAATGTCTAGTTCTACTGCTTTTCAGCTTGATACATTCACAAGGTCAGTGAGGATTACTGGTCAGCCTTCTCTGATATCCAGCATTGCTTGTTAGCTGCTCAGTGCTCAGTTACCTGTTCTTCTATATCAATTGAGGGTAGTGCAGAATAGATCAACCTTCAGAAAATACTTTTTGAAGTGCATAGCCTCTGCTTCAGGTGTTTCCAGGGCTGTGGTGTCACTGGAGGCTGTATGTACCACCCCATGCTTGGTGCCTGCATAGCTTGTTAATGAATAGAAGCAGTTGGACAGGAAATCCCATTATCATTCCTTTTTGTTTTGGGTTGACAACCACATCCTCAATTACACTTAATGAGATGTAGTCTTCTCGTATGTTCCCCAAAGGTTTGTGGTTTATGACTGAAAAGAAGTCACCGTGTTTGACCCTAAGGATTGACATGGTATTGTATGGACTATATCACCTAGATAATTGTAGCATAGAGGCTGATACTCATTTTCAGTTTATAAAACTCTTAGCTAACATAGACTAGCAGGCTATTCTGGGAGAGATGATTCATACATCTCTTCTTGTTGACATATTTAGAGGTTAATCTGCTCTAACAACTTGTTTATGCATCATGTGAGATATACCTAAGGTCTTTATAATTTTGGAGGATTTTTTAACAGAAAGCTACCCAGTAGAGCTTGCAGTGTAACAGAAAAATTAGCAATTTTCCTTTCCCTCTTTGAGGTGGGGGTTGGGCACAAATTGACGCATGAGCCATCTAGGAGAAGAGAAATTTTGCATTAAATTATTTCTCCTAAGCCATCAAAGTAGGATTTTATAATGTAGCTATTGTACAGTGAAAGAGAATTGGGAGGTTTTAATAACCTCCTTTTTGGAGATCTGAAAAAGCTAACTGACTTGTAATTGAGGTTAGTTGTTTTCAGGGATCTCAGGGACGATAATAGCTTAAGTCTTTTCCATGAGGACACTTCTGTTTGTCCTACTCACTATAATAAGATGAAAAGCATAACCATTAACTATTTAATGTGTGATACCATCAATGTTCTTCCTGTTTTAACAAGTAATGTTACCATGACTAGGTCACTATTACAAGCTTGGGCCTTTTGGCTAAAGACTTCTGCCTGAGAATGACAATGGAAAACTTATGCTTTGGGGGAAGTGGAACAGACTTAGGGTCCCAAAGCCCTGAAGTATTTAGTCTTTTGCACTGAATACTACTGAATGTTAAGAATTAAGCTTAGAAACAGGTTAATATTCTGCATGACTTCCAGTTGACTTGTGATGTTGGCATGTGGTGAAAATTAGTTCATATTCTTCCTGAAAACATATATGTACATGTATTTTCATCAGTGTGTTACTTTAAAAAAGCCCTTCTAACAGTACAGAAAACGTTATTTCTGTAGGACTTCATTAAAGAAGAACTGAGGGGGGAAATATCTAAATGGTTTTCTTTCTGTGTCCTTGAGTAATGGAGGCTGGAAGTTGACTGTGAGATGATGAATTGCCACTGTAGATATGTTTAAATGTCCCAATCTCTTGGATTTTGTGATGTCCTCTTAGAGCAATGTGAGGAATTCTTACTGTCTGGATTGTGATCTGATCTGAATAGTGTCTATTTTTGTAGTCTGAACTGTGATTACGGTTTAGTCCTGTGTGATACTGTAAAACCTGAGCTCCACAAATCTCCAGAAAGTTTCAGATATGGTACTGCATTAGGTAACTAATCTTTGCAGGATTTTTGTAAGGAAAAAAAAATCCATAAATTAAATACCTGTAGGGGGTTACTGTAAAATTTTTAGTATTAAATCATTGAACAGCTTCAAAAGTTCATTTGGCCCAACCTTTCATGGAGAGAGAGTCTCAATGAGATGGTGTAGCACCTTGACACGTCACAAATTCAAACCTCCTGTGATGGGGACCACTTTCCTGGGAAGATTGTTCCAGTGGTTGATTGTTCTCACCGTAAAACAATTCGTTCTTATATCAAGGTGAAATCTCTCTTGGTGCAACAAGTGCAAAGACAAGTGCAAAATACTGTACTGGGATAACATAACTAAAGAGCCCAGTACAGGCTGGATCTGTGTAGATGGGGAGCAGCCTTGCTGACCTGGGGGTCTTTTACACAACAAGCTGAACACGGGTCAGCAGGACATGGCTGCAGCAACAAGGTCATACTGGATCCTGGGCTACATCCACAAGGGCATTACTGGCAGAGGCAGAGATGTGATTATCCCTTGCCACTGAGTGCTGGTCAGGCCACACATGGAGTGCTGTGTCCAGTTCTGGTCCCTACAATTTAAATTCAAATATTGACCTTCATATATATATATATATATATATATATATATATAAATCCAAGCTATAATATGTTAATGAACATCAAAGTATAAAAAGAGCAGCAGTTCAATAATATGCAGTATACTTGTCCTGTTCAAGAAAGGGCAGACTTGGACCTGTAAAATAATAAGAGAAAAATGATTTTGAAATCACTCCATTATAGCATTTTGTAGAGAGTTCTTCTGGCTTAAAAGTAATTTTGGCTAAAGTAAATTTCATAAATCTGTTTCTGATTTATGGATAATAATCACTGTAGGAAAAATAGGATGGATTCTAAAAGGTCATGTAGTACAAACACATCTGAAGGAAGTTTTCAAGTAATCTTTCCCTCTCTTAAGTTATCTTCTTAATGTTTTTTTCCCTGCATTGGGATTTGATGTTGTTTCATGCATTTGTCTTTTATTACTCAATTCTTGGCATAGCAAGGTGAAATGCTATATTTTGGCAAAGGTGAGGAACTTAAAGCTAATTTCCCTCCTTCTTTTAGATAAACTTTTTTTGTTTTGCTCTTGTTTTGTTTGTAAAATGGAACATGGACTGAGAGGAGAGCTATATCTGCACTGCAGATATAGTGGAGGAATCTATTTGGTGTGATCACTATGTAAGTCCTTTAATGTGATTTTGGTTTTAACCTAATTTCTCACTGTCTGAAAACCCTGCTGGGCTTCTTGCCATGTTGCCAAATAATTGAAGCTCTGTTAAGCTGTTGAAAACTCTACCAACAGTAGCTGCACAACAAATGCATTTTAAACACTGTAGCTTTCTTTTTTTTTTTTTGTTGATTTGCTAGCCCTTTCTCTGAGCAAGTCTGCCCTAAAAGCGATTCAGAACTGGAAGTTAAGCCCGCTGAGAGCTTGCTCAGATCTGAATCTCACATGGAATGGACATGGGGAGGATTCCCAGAATCAACCAAGGTAAATTTATTTATTGTCTCTAACTTTTGCGAACTGAGTTTTGGCTTGTTTAAAATTGTGTCCTCGGAGAGGATTGGAAATCTGCTGCTGTTCTTTAGAATGATTCAGCTGAAATGGGAAAGTAGCACCCCCTCGTGGCTGGCAGAGGTTTGGCTTCGTTGAGTTCAAAAGCTGCTCAGCAAAGTTTTTCCAGAAAACCTAGCCCTAAAAGTCTGAAATTTTTGAATTTTTAGTTAGAAACTGAAGGGAAAAACTTTAGAAAATAATTTCCTTTGTTGTCAAGTAAGTTCTAGTTCATTTCAGAAGAACTGTAGCCTTGGTAGAGTAAATGTGGTATCTTAACAGGACAACTGGCAACAGAAGCCCTGATATGTCCACATTTATGCTATTTTCTTGCTATAGTTTGGTTAAGTCAGCACTTCCTCTATGCCAGTTTCTATGCTGAACTTGTAAATAAACTATTATGAAACTTCTGTTGCCGGGAACTTTGCTAATACAGTGGGACAGGTTTTATCTTGCTAAAATATGTATTTAAATTCTTTTTTGGATTGCCTGTGACCAGGACTTTTACCATGAATACAAGTTTAATGTTTAGAATAGAATAAAACAAACAGAAAAAGTGAAAGGATTGACTAGACTTTTGTTTTCCAGATAAGCAAGAAAGAGAAACTGGAACATTGCAAAACAGCTACCATTACTCCATCAGAGAAGACTCATTTTAGGGTCATCCTCAGCTCTGATGAAGTTGAAGACGATGATGATGTGAAAGATTCTGTCTGTACAGTACTGAAACCTGAGCCAAGAACTCATCCTCTGCTTCAGCAGATGGATGTTAAAGATTCTCTTGCTTCTGCAATCGTAGAACCACAAGTTGCTTTGCCATTAGATGCTGATCATCATTCCAGAATGTTGGTGGACCCTTTACCAGAAACAAAGCCAACAGCAAAAACCGACTCTCCTTCAAAAAAGAAAGGTATGTAATAAAGCTGTTGATCTCTGCCTTCTGTCTGGTGTACCAATTTTGAGGCCATAGTGGAAAAAGTAGAAATGGGCCTTTTCAATTTTTCCTATTTAAATCTTAACTGACTAAAACTATAATTAAACTCTTGAATTTATGAATGATACAAATAAGTCTGAATATACCACAATTACATTTGTATTTAACGTGTCTGGTTACCTTCATATTGGCAATCTTAATTGTTAAAATTAACAGGGGTGCACAAGCGAAGCCATCATCAAGGACCTGATGATATTTACTTGGATGACCTAAAGGCTTTGGAACCTGAAGTTGCAGCACTTTACTTTCCCAAAAGGTAATTTTGAACTAATATTCAGTGGATCTAGGGTGATATTGCAGTTGCATTACATGAGTTATTACATGTATTATTTATGTGCCAATTCTGATAACAGGACTTGGACTTCAGGTTTCTAGGCTTTTATGGAGTAACTGGTACTGATCTCATTGGGAAAATATATTTCTAGTTTGAGAAACACATTGGAAGATCACGTGGGAGATCACTACTGAGAGTTTTCATCTTTGTGGAACCTGTATGTTCTGCAAACAGAGAGGGGAGTAAATTTAAACTGCACGCCCCATTTAAACACTACTCCAGTGCTGTTTTGCCACATTGCTAGCTCTAGAGAAGCAGACATGAGTTTATATTTTGCATGCCCCGTACATCCTTTCCAACTTTTTAATATCAAAAAAGACCAACAAAAATCCCACTGCATCTTCATGCAAGGCAGCTCAGTCTCAAAATTCACTCATTGGCTTTTTCTGAAGAATTTGAAACATTTTTATACTCCTAAAATATTCTGCAAAATAATAACTGTCTAGGAAGACCTTTATAAAAATACAGCTTAATAAGAAAGAAGTGTCTGTTGGTTTATGTTAAAACTAGAGTAGTAAACTTTTCAGTACTTCAGTTCAAACTAATAACTTTAACCTTAGATGACAGTGTGATTTTTTTTTTATGTTATCTTTCTTTTCTATTGTACTTTTTCCAAACACACGCAGTGTTTTGAAAACAAAATAGTGTCCTTTTGGGTTTTTTTATTCTTATTCTACAGCTTTCTGGTAAAGATTGAGGAGCACAGTATTGTTCTGCAGAATTAGAATGCAGAGGATGTTTTCTTCATTTAAATCCAATTTTGTTGTAGACAAGAGAAATGCAATTATTTCCCAATTTAGGTGAATGTTAGGAGAACTGGAAACTGTCAGTCTGCTAGTATTGTGAGGGGTTGATGGGGGTGTTTGTATCTGGATTTTTGTTTGGCTGGTTTTAAATTTATATTGTAAAATTATGTAGAAATGCAACAGCAAGTTTGTTTGTTGTTGTTTTTTGAGTAATCATATAATATGTTCTGTACATTTTTTTTCTAAGTATAATACTTTTCACTTTCCTTTAGTGATTCTGATCCTGGCTTCAGGCAGTGGACAGAGTCAGATACCCTTTCTGGTTCCCAGTCACCCCAGTCAGTTGGAAGTGCTGCTGCTGATAGTGGTACAGAGTGCATGTCTGATTCTGCTATGGACTTGCCTGATGTCACACTGTCACTTTGTGGAGGTCTCAATGAAAATGGAGAGATTTCTAAAGGTACGTGAAAGACTTTAGAACATAAAGAGTAATAGAGCTCAGGCAGCTAAATCTGAATGCTCTGATTTCCTCCTTACAAAACTTGGCTTATTACTATACTCATGTCAAGAAAGGAGAATGGATAATCTTTCATTTTTCTAAACTTCAGAAGCATTTGCCAAGCAGAGATAGCAGAATTTAACCTCAAATTAATCAAGAGCACTTGATGTCTTGAGAAGCTTTCAGTCTCCTTTTTTGCACTACATGTTGTTTATCTGACCAATCAGCCTGATTTCTGGCTGCAATTACTTGCTTAGTCCTATATAAATCTTCAAAACTCATGTTTTTTCCAATTGCCTGATTATTTTTTTTTTTAGTTTTCTTAAGCGATTTAAAAAGAAAACAACTTTAGCTGTTGTGTTGGACTATCTCTTTGCCTGCATTCCTTTTCCTGTCCTAATTTTTTGACAACCTTTAGATTTTTACCAGCTGATTCTTCTCCCCTAATGCTCTAGTTTATTTAATGTTGGAGTTGTATGTATTTTTGAGGGAGCACTTGTGACCCCATAATCTTTATGAACATGTACTACAGTGCTTTTAGTATTAGTATTACGTTTAGTATTACGTTTTTAATGGTCATTCAGTCTCTAATGCATAAATTGAAATTTAAATGATCATTAATAAAGACTGAGAACACTCAGTACTCTTGGTAACATGGTAGTAGGAATTTGCTTTGAGAAAATTGTCTTGCTTGCAGGGGTCTTACACTAAATCGTGGATTTCTGCAAACATATATAGAAACTAGTCATGAAAATGCTATTAGTTAGTGATAGTAGTAGTTTTTCAAACCTGAAAAGCAGCAAACATCCTTTACCTCCCCTTTTTGTGTATTATCTAGGCCCCTTACCATGCCATTATAATTTTTGAAGAAAACTTGCTTAGACAAGCATGGCTCCCTTTTTCCAGCCTGCAAACTGAATTAGTGTCTGCCTCCTCCTTATCCTCCCTTTTCTAATTTCTTAATGCTCGTTACTGTGACTGTTGGAGTGGTGCAAGGCTTCCCCTGTAAGGGAGGAGGCAGTCACAAGACCCTTGACAGGTAGGCCATATTAGCATATCTTCAGTGTTATTGCAAGATCAGCAAAGACTCTGAGATGACAGAAAAGGTTTTCCTAGACATAAACTAATCAGACATCTTGGGATTTTATATTATTAATTTAAATCTCTTTCTGTTGCAGAAAAATTCATGGAACATATTATTACTTATCATGAATTTGCTGAAAACCCTGGACTCATTGACAATCCTAATTTGGTTATACGGATTTATAACAGGTAAATTGTCTGTATCATGTAATTAGGCCATAGAAAATCTCATTTCAAACCTACTCTTTAAAGTGAGCACACTTTTCAACTTCCATTGCATTTTGTGTTATTGATGAATTGTTTCTCAGTCTCAAAGAGAGATATTTTGAACCGAAGATTTGCATTAAATTTAACTTTAGCTGGAGTGAGATTTTTTTCTGCAATTTCAACTGATGTTGAATTGTATATATTAAAATCACTCTGGGGCCTCTGGTGGTCTAGTGGTTAGGGTGCAG